TATGGCTGCATCGACACAGCCAGCAGGAAGTTGCTGTGGCTAAAAGTTTGGGTATCCAACTCTGACCCAAAATTAATTGGGAAGTGGTACCTTGAATACCTTTATGAAACAAGGTTGATGGCAGCCATGCTAAGAGTGGACAAGGGCACTGAAACAGGTGTAATGGCGACCTTGCATGCCTTTTTACGAAGAAACCATGGGGATATGGATCCACATGAGACTATTTTATATGGTCCATCCACTTCTAATCAGGTATTTTGCCCCCTTAACTGACATTGACATTCTATCCAAATGGATAACATTTTTTTGTATTTTAATTTTTTACCTGTTTAAGATTGAAAGATGGTGGAAGGATTTGCACGAAAGAATGGAAAAGTATGTTAAAGTGCATTTAAGATGGTTGAAAGACCAGGGTTATTATGATCCTCACAATGACACTGACAGGTATGTATTTGTGGTAAATTGCATATTTAAGTGGCAATTAATATCTGCCTATGCTGATTTAATCCATAGGGAATTTGTGGAGGTCAATTTTATTTGGTAAGAAAGGAAAGGCCATAATTTGCTAAACTATCATTTACTCTTTTTATAATTTTAGGATGCTTTTATCATTTGTCATGATACCACTGGTACAGAAGGAACTGGATTCATTTAAGGACAGTGTATGGAACACCCACAGAATACGGGCACAAAAGGACACAGTTTTACCTAGTGGTGTGCCAAATCATATGTATAGCTTTCCAGAAGAGTATGGTCTGGAAGAATGTGGTATATTATTTTTTAGTTATTTTTGTCATCCTAACTTATTGACCTTTAACCTGATCAAATACACAAGCTATTATCTTCTTTAGCAACAGCCAGGCATTATAAAACCCAATCACTATGAAGGAAAGGGTCAATATTATTTTTTATTACCAAAGTTGACTCAACAGCAATTAAGTTTTAAATCTAAATTTTTAGAGATAAATGGTGTCCCTATTTATTTATTTATCAGATTTAAAAGTAAATATGGGAGATACCGGTATAAGAACCTGTGAGTTAAACTACAGTTTTAGTTATTTAATTTCTTATTTATTTTTTTCATATATTCAATGCTAAATAAAAGGGGGTATTGATGAGATAAGCACAAAAATTTATTAAAGTCAGTAATGTGCACTTGTGGTGCACATAATGGCCAGTCTTCAAACTTTACATGAAAATGCATAATTTCTTATTTTACAGGCCTTAAAGTGAGTGAAGAACAGTTGAAGGAAGCAGCTACCAGACCTGTCAAGTTCTTAATTTTAAATTGAGTGAGATTCCTGACGGCAGCACTGTACTCCGCTCCACAGGCATGGCCATGAAGGGGGATCAGTCAGTGTAGGACGTGAAAGATATAATTCCATTAACATTTTGATGGCTGTTGTTTAGCCTACATATTTACGAACAATATGGCTTTATTCGCATTGATATTTGTTCTGCAATTACTATAATATAACAACATGAAGCAAGCAGTATAAAACAATTTCAATTTTCAAACATTTGAACAGTAAATCCTATACTTGCAAACAATAGTCAGAATAATAGTTTTTTATTTTTTCCGCTTATGGCTATGCTGTTTGTTGTACTCCCACGTAGCACCCTTTGCTTTCTTTAAGAGCTCACTTGGTGGTTTGAATTTTACGGCATTAACATCTGCAAGTTTAACAGTAAGAATGGAGGACAAAGTACCCTCCATTGATAAACTAGAACGAAATGGTGTTTTGTTCTTGCGAACCATACTGAAAACCCTCTCTTCCCCTGCATTTGAATGTGGCAATACTAAGATAAGTTTGGCCACTTTAAACAGTTTCTTAAACTGAAATTGTCCATCTCCTACCTTCATTGTAGACAAGTAACCCCAAATGACATCCATTCTGTAATACTTCTTGACTTCTTCATCATCTTCTTTTTCAATAACACATGCATCATCCCAAACTAATTTTGGAATGTCACTTTCATCCAAAAGTTGGTATGCAAGAAATTCCTCCTGCAATTCATTAAGATATTTGGAACTGAGATTTAGTCTAAAGTGTTCAGCAAAGAACTCAACACTTTCAAATTCACAGTTCTCTCGTTCTGTGAAATTTACAAATACTGAATGCATCAGTACTTCATCACTCAAAGGTAGTTTGTCTAAGCCATACTTTGTTACAGAGCTATAAAACTGTAGAACACCATCCAGAAATTTGTCCTTTTCATTCTTGCTAATGTCACCCTCATTAAATAGTTTATTTAATTTAGCCTTAGTGACAATGCCAATGAACATCAATGATGCATCTTTGTGCTTTGTAATGTCCACCTTGGTCAAACCCTCTGCTGACTTGATGGCATTTAAAGTAATGAATTTCCCCATCAACTGTTTAATAAAACTTTGCAATTTCTCGTGGACCAAATATATACAAGGATCTTCTCGTTGCAAGAAGCGATTTGTTATCGTAAATGTGGGCATGATAGCATTATAGAACAAGAGGTACACCTCAGTCAATGGACTCTGAAAGTGTTTTTTCAAGCGTTTGAACCGTGGACATGGTTCGCTTTCACTTAAAAAATAACTCTTGAGACCTTCAAACTGCTTTAAAGCACGTTCAACAGCTCGTTCAAGGCTCAGCCATCTCACGTTAACATGCTTTAAGATCTTTCTATATTCCTGGTCGCAAAATTCATTGTAAGATCGTAACGCACCTTTTCTTTTGGTACTCTTATCAAAATAATAAAATAAATCAACACAAAAATCCTCAACATCAAAGCCTGTCACAGAGGTAAATGCTTCAGCTCCTTTATGAGCTGTGTTATGAATAATGTGACACGGGCAACCCATGAAGTAACAGGATGGATTTTTTCTCAGTACACGGGAGAGGATTGAGTTATGTGCTCCAATATTTACGCTGGTATTATCAACTGAGAAGCCCACACAGTTCAACCATGGCACAGCATGTTCTGTCATTTTGCTATCAATTTCATTGAAAATGGTCCCAGCTAAGCCACAATCTTCTCCAGACGTGCAACACATGTCCAAAAATCTTGTTACAGTACGGTGTGTTTTAACATCGTAAAAGCGGACTGTGAGAGGGTTCATTTTTTCTATATCAGTGTCATTAGAACCATCTGTTGATAATGAAAAAAAATCATTTTGCATAACCTCTACCGTTTCCTTTAGGAAGTGTGGTGCCAGGGCTTGATTCAAAATGCATGATGCTTTTGTTCTCTTTGATGCATATTCTTTAGCTATTGTACTATCAGGGAAAATGTCTTTGAATATGTCACTTAGCTTGTCTGCAAATGCCATCTGGATATTGTTCTCTGCGAGAAGTAATGATATTTTCGTTTCAGCACGTATTACCTAACAGTTACAGAGAAAATGAAAATATTTAAGGAATGTGTATCAGCATCAATACACTGCGGGTGCTTTGTTTATGTTTTCATATCTTAGTGAATAGGCATAACTTATATTACCTCATGTGCTAGTGAGCGAGCTTGTTTCTTTCTGTGGCTTGTTGATTTGTTTGAATGCATATGCATTGAGGTTGAGTGGTTGACGCACATTAATAATTTTGTAAATAGAGTAACAAAGGAGCTCCAGGCTGAAGGAGGGTAATGGCATTTCTGTTTCTTTGGGCCTACCAAATGTATCATGCATAGTGGGGCAGGTGTCATATAATAGGTTTTAATATCTATTTAAGTCCCCTGTCCTTCCACTTTCACATATATAGTTAATAAATTATTTCTTACCTGCTCCCTTGTTGGGTCATTTTCCGTTCTAAATCCACATTCAGAGAGGCTTCTTGATGATGATGCACTTTTTACTCTTTCCTTGTGCTTTGCTCCATTAAGATGGCGAGAAACGTCAGCTTCACCTTGATGACCACAACTAGAAACTTTACTGCACAGCGTACATTTGAAATCATGCTGAGAACCAGCAACCTCAACAATACAAGGCCATTTCTTCGTCCAACTCTTGTTGAATTTAGTCTTAAACCTTGCTGCCCCAGCAAACTTTCGTATATTAACATTGGAACTGGAAGGTCCAGCATCATTTGAACTTCCTTTTTTTTTCTTTGGTGGAGAACTACACTCATTTTCCGTGTCATCGCTGCCGTCACTATCATTGCCGTTGCTGCTCATACTAGTATTGTCAGTATTTAATCGCCATTTTTACAACCATGCTTTCAGCAAAGAACTTTCAGTTTCAGTTGTACTACGTACTTTATGTTTCCACTTTCAAAATTAAAAATTCCCTTCCCCCCAACGGCGATCCCAATTTTTATGATTTGTATCACAGTTGAGTAATGGAGTATCATCACAGCAACGCATACCTCAAGTACAAAAATAAGCTAGAATCTTACCTAAACAAAGTTTTTAAACCTGCGAGTAACCTACGAGTTTATCAACTTTGACTGAAATTCGTAAAATGCGTGATAACCTCTTCCCTTTGCGTGTGAGCGTGAGAAACTTTCAAAATGCGTGTGTCTCACGCAGAATGCGTGAGACTTGGAAGGTCTGAGCTACCCAATCAGGTGTTTTAACAGTGCCAGATGACTATTTACAGCCAAATGTTAGAGCAGAATGTGAAAGACTGATTCCTGACCACAAAACAATCAAACCACATGAATGCAGGGATGCATACTTGTATCTGAAACATCATTTTAATAATCAATAATAATCAACTTTAACATTTTATAACAGCCAGCAGTGAAGCCAGCCTGACTTTTAGCCATGTAAAATGCAAATTTCAATCATTATCATCATTAAATTCTTTATAAATTGATTGTTTTCACAGTCTATGAGCACAGGAATATTTGTATTTGCATGACTAAAAGTTGGGCTGGCTTCACTACTGATATAGTACACAACAATATAGTTGTTAACATGTATTTAGCATCTTATGTTTTAATATTAATTGTAATATTAATAAACCAACCAAAAGGATGCTATGGATACTACAGAAATATAAAACGATATCAACGAGGATGATACAGCACTCATTTGCATAAGTTTAACAAAACACAGTATTTGTTGCACTTGTGGTTTCTGAAAAAACGCTCAATTGCTACTGTGGACAAATTTCCACTACAAAACTGGTAATTACCATTATCATCTACCAGCTGCTCTGATGCAATTTCTGGATCATATAAAGTATGCCCTGAGCCTTGAACATCCAACACTATAAACTTTTTTTCAGACTTCACATATGTAAAGTGGGAAAAGGCCTCTGCCTTATCAGCAATTACGTTGTCATTTTCACATCTATCACCAGTGTTATTTATATACTTTACAAATTCACCACTTATGAATTCCTCCAGAGTGACAACTTCTCCAGAGGTCATCTTCCCCATGAAAACTTTGTTAAATTCAAATACTTCACCAAACTCCACCAAATTTTCTTTCTTCACTTTTTCCCGCAGTTGGCAAGCCAGATTCCTTGCAAGGTAATGCATCTGGACAGATTTCTGTGCATGTTCCTCTTCAGTTTGCTTCATTTCTTTAAGTAATTCTCTGGTATGATCTGTGTATTTCTTGACAACCCATGTTTCATCTTTAAATCCCTCAGTGATGCTGGTGGCTTTATATGCTTCACGAAAACCACCATTTGCAAATGGTTTTTCAGAAACCACAAACTCTGCCTCGCTTGGGATCAATGACCACTCCATGTACTTTAGGTCAAATTTATATATTTTAATTGTCACAGATTTCTTTTCTAACTGTGTTCCAAGTTTGAGCATATCCTTAATTGACAAACTTTTTGGATAGAATGATTGACAATTCTTTTCTTTAACTGGGCTTGGTACAGAAGTAGCCTTTTCTATACGAGGCTTTTTGACTTTTCCTCTCTACAAGTGCACAATGAACATTAATTAAAATATAATGCTGAAAACACTTCATGCTAATAATTATGCTAATGATGGCACTTGATTGAATACATACATACATATATATATATATATATATATATATATATATATATATATATATATATATATATATTATATATATATATATATAATATATATATATATATATATATATATATATATATATATATATATAATTGAAATGTTCGTCGTGAATCAGAGTGCTAAATACATAAATTATAGTAGAGCAAAAATAATAATAATAATAATATACATCTATCGCCTGATGATCGTATAAATTACGTGAAACACTGTGTAGCGATGAAATAAATATTTTAAGATTTAATCCTTGTATTATCATAAATATATATATATATATATATATATATAAATACATTTAATTATTTTTGAGCTTACATGCCATGGTGCACTTATAACCACAGTTACTGAACTATTTTACTACACACATGCAACTTTAAAGAACGGACATAATATGTACCAGTTTATTTTTACAAGTGCTTGAGAGGGTTGCTTTTCCCTTCCAAGCCCACCCACTGTCAAAAAAGGGCTAAAGGCAAAGAGTAAACCTCAGTGCTTCAACCCTTCTACTCTGCCTCTGGATCAGTATATATGTGACTCAGGGCTTGAAAATGTAGGATAGAAAGAGTAAAACATAAAAGAAAGATTTAAATTACTAACATCACTTGCATTAAGCTCTTCAACATCGGGATCTTCATCTTCAACTACCGTTGCTTCTTTTTTAATAAATCTGACATAGAACACTTTTAAGTCAGGAATTTGCGAAAGTTTATTGCACGATGGACCACGTTCACCTGCTAATACGTCACATACCATGTCCTTATCGACTTTCTTCTCAAAATGCTTTTCACAAGCAAAAGCTATGTTCTCTAGTGTCAATTCTTCGTCTTCGAATGGCACGTACTCTCTTGCGCCAATACGGCTGTACTTCTGTTGTTTCCCACTGACATCGGCGCTCATTCGCTGAACTATTATTTCACTTCTGACATCATCTTTTGTTCCTCCTTTACAATTCTTTCCTTTCGCGGCTCTTTTTTGTTTTTGTTTGTTTGCAAATTGCCTCCACTCAGCCATGTATAATATATTACAAGAACAATTTACAAGTTACAACATGTAAAGCACATGGCATGATTAGAGCGTAGCGGTAAAATGGAGCCCGCATTGAATCATGGTAGTGGCAGCCCTCGGCCATAGCGAATTTAACTTTCATTTTAATTTCAATCGAAATGGATATTGAATTCATTTCGATGGTTGTATTCTATAGTGATTCACTTTGTATCTTATTTTAATTTATCTTTAACTTTATTTTTATTTTCAAAAATAAATTAAATTTAAAAAAAAATGTCAGAAATGCAGAAAAACAATAGTGGCAATGCTCGGCCACCATAGACCCGGGCGTTTTTGTAGCCAATTGTGCTTCCCTTCCACAGCGGGGTCAACTCACAGTGAGAGCGAAATTTCATAAAGCTCCGGTTGAACTGCCACCGTCACAAACTTTTTTCAACTAGTACCATTACAAAACTTAATCACAATGTACTTTTTCATATACTGTACAATGTACTTTTTCATGGTTACTAGCATACTTGTTCCCAATTGGTCAATCGGTCACTGAAATGAGACACCATGTATTGGCTAATTCACACAGACAGGAAGTTGATAAATTTTTCAACAAAATTGTGCAAATGCAATATTTTATAAACACTTCCATTAAAACGACAGTAAAAGGGTTGTAATGTCCCTTAAAAACCATCATTCAAAAGGCTGAATTGTGCCCTTAACAAGGAGTTACATGTACCCTGTTTGATAGTGTAATATAAAATATAAAAGTTTTCAACCTAACATTACTTAACTTTCTTGCTTGCAGCAATGACATCTTTGTGCCACCTTCCTTTCTTTGTTATTTCTATAGTAAGGTAATAACCCATTGTACTAAATGTTGAAGCGGATGTGTTTTACTTGAATACTCAGAGATTGCATAATGGGCTTTAGATAGGTAGTAAATTCTCTTGCTATATATTCCACTTTCTTGTATTCATCTGAAGCCATCACATATACAGCAATTGCATTATTGTCATTTACATTTTCTGATTCCTCCACAAGTTTGGCAAAGATGGGTCGATTGTACTCCTAAAGATATTCATATGCCTCTTCAAGTGCATCTTGCCTACTGGTCCAATAACATGTTCCCATGACTTTGAAGGGCAGTGTGTGTTCTCCAGTGTAACTGTCGTTTTCTTCTTCAACACTTTCAACTTCCACACATGCAACAGACTTTGTGGTACTCTTTAATGGGATTAGTATCCATAGCACTGTCAGCTCTTCATTGTTCACCCTTATTGTGCAATGACTTGTACAACGAAATTTGCCTGGTTCAATGTCAATGTCCTTGTTAACAACACCACTGCACTGTATCCTGTTGCTAAGTGTATATTTTACTCTTTTGAAGTTTAATGTTATTACTGGAAAGGATGGTATTTTCCAGGGGAACCAAGCATCTTCCACTGATGAAATTGTTACTTCCATCTCTGCTGTTAGATTATCTGTAAAATAACAGAAGCATAGTCTATATGCATGTATGTATACTTTTGTATGTTTCTTTAAAATGTATTAGTATATAGTATAACCTGCCATTTGCACAAAAATTATCATAATAAGCATACAGGGTCATAACTATAGAAATAATTGGAGAGGTGCATATTCATATATTCCTGTACTGCCTGACAGATTTATTTTGTTGGAGATTGTTTTTGTGATTGCTTACAAAATAAATTTGTTGGGGAGAACACAAATATATGAACATGCACCCCTCCCAATTATCACTCTATTTACGGCCCTGTAAGCATAGAGAGTAAGCTTGAGGGGCACTTTGTCTTAAGACATCTACTCGATTAGAAAAGGGCATTTTCCTCATAGTTTTAGCAAGAGGAAACGGAGAAAACTTACTCCCTCCCTGTAGAGCTGTGCACCAGAGCCGGAGGGCCGGAGCTGGAGTTTTGGCCTATTTTGCCGGAGCCGGAGTTTGTTCAACTCCAGCAAAACTCCGGCAGCACTTATTTGTGCTGCAAACTTATTTGTGCTGCTAACTACTGTCGCACATCGGCAAAAAAACCTGAATTTTTTGGCTGGAGCTGGAGGTGAAAAAACCGGAGTTTGCACAGTACTAGCCAGGATGCAGATCCCATGTTATGACAGGAATATTCGCAGCAATCAGAAATTTACACAATTCTGTCTGTATAAAGTCTTGCAATATACAAGACTGGCATTTTTGAAGAGCCCAAATATATATTTTTACTAGGGAGTATATAGACCCCATAGCATAATTAAGGCATACAGACTTCACCTAGCCTAGGAAATACCCTGCTTGACAATGTCCTACCTTTTCTAAGTCCTACCTTTTGGCATCCAAATGCAAGTAAGTTAGAATCTTCACTAATTGCAAAATCGGCTTGCCCATCTTCAACAATATAAGCAATTTGTGCATCTGCTTCATACAGGGCAACGATATAGTTGATATTTTTATCACGACACAACTAGAACAACAAACGTACAGGTATAAAATACGAGTATAAAATTTATCAAAGATGTTAATAACAGAGAGTTCAAATAAAACTAGTGATGGTACCCTGATAAATTCAGTGGTCATAGCATATGTGATGCAAGTTGCTCCAGCCAACAGCTTGTTCGCCGTCATTACTTCGCCTTTATCTCGAAGTTCGGTTGCTTTTGCTCTGGTTTCCTCTCGGCATCTATATACGTTTATATTTAAAATAAAATCGTGGAATAAATATATTTACGTTAACACTGAACGTGTGTTTTGTGTGCATTGAAGCAGTCAATTTCTACAAATTATAATAAAATGGACACTCAAAGTAATTTACATAAAGTTGCGCCAACAAAAACAAATACTCACTTTGTCCTTTTTACGCGTTCATGTTCTTTCGCTGGTAATCTTAATCTTAATCAATAGGTAACCTTAATCTTAATCTTAATCCATAGGTATTAAGAAGATCCCACAATCTAAAATTGCACGGTATTTGCAGATTTGTACGCAAGTATTCAAAATTGCAAACATACATAAACACACGCCCCTGCACACACTGAAACACTACTGAAAAATATACCTGCTATCGTCGCCATTTTGACTGTAGCTTATAGACAGCGCTCTATGCAACACGCACAAAGCATCCACTGCAGCAGTTTGTCCTTTAAACTCGTCAAGTTTTGCTTTTCGTGTGACATCTCCCAAATACGGCAATAATGTTTTGATTCCCATTGCTTTTTTTCTGTTGGGAGCTGTTCTCCATGCGGTGTCGAATGCAAAATGAGCAATTTTTGTGATTTTACCCATAATTCCCCAGAGCGTAGTGTGCACACCGCCTGGTTTGTGACTTAGAATAGTGACATCACATATACATTTGATATATACACCTCAGTCTTTGCATCATCACTATCAATTTAAGATGCACAGATATGGAAGGAACTAGACTGAGTCCTGAAATATCAACTACTTCAACCATCTTGATCCTGGAAGCTCATTTGGAAGAGCATTGGACTAGCAAACTAAATGTCGCCAGTTTAATTCCCACGGTGGTTTTAGTTTGCATTAGGCTAGGAAAGCAAATGTCGGAGGTTCAATTTCCACATTGGTCAAGGTAATTTTTCACCGGTTGTGACTCAGAGTATCAACATCTAATATACATTTGATATATACACCTGAGTCTTTGCATCATAGTTATCAATTTATGACGCACAGTTATTAAAGGCACTAGCCATAGTTCCGAAATATCAACTGCTCAAACCATCTTCATCCTATAAGTTTATTTAGAAGAGCA